AATCAAGATTAACTTGTACAATTCAAATGGGAGTATGGAGAAGAGAAACAGCTCTCCTTAACATACTGTGGCAGGAGTGTGGTCTCTGGTATGCTGCAGTGGAGGGGTGGGGACAGGTGTGTGTGCTGTGACTGATGACTCTCTCTCCCTATATAGAGTGATGGCAGAGACTGACGGGGTGTGTGTGCAGTGGAGGAGCTACAGAAGGAGCTGACTCCTTGCTCGAGTGCCTTAGTCACAGCGAACTGCTAAACAAGCGAAATAAAGAAAAGCAAAAACACGTCAAACACTGTGTGTGTCGGGTGCTTGCTACACATGCCGTCTGTGATGGTGGGGGCAGTGTTAGGGCATGGGTATGTATGGCTGCCAGTGGAAGCAGGTCCCACTGTGGCTGCTGATAGAAGTATCAAAATGAACTGTGAGGTGTGCTCAGATTCAGTCAAATGCTGCAAACTGACTGGACAGCAATTCATGGTGCAAATGGATAATGACCCAAAGCATACTGCAGAAGCACCCAAGAGTTTCTCATGAAATGAAAGAAGTGAGTCAATTCGGTCACATGATCTCTGGCTAATAGAGCGTGCGTTTTAGTCAACTGGAGACCAAAATACCCACAAACCAGCAGCAACTCGGTTTGGCTGACATAGCATCTCAGGAGACGAAACACAGCATTTGGTGATGGGTTCTAGACGTCATGGAGTCATGAAATATTAAAAATGATCCTTATGGAGCTTGGGATGGGGATTGGTTATATGCTGTTCAGTAGTTCTCAAAAATCATCCAAATTGTAATGGCCTGAATGTATTGAGGTATGTCTTTGTATCATTTGGTACTTGTTTTATTAGGCCTGATATGTCAAACTGCATGTAAAAACTCTATAAATAAAGAGGGGGGAAAGAGCCTTATGTATAAAATTATGTTAGTTTGTCTAATTAATTTTGAGCTTCTGAGAATGACAGGCTCTATGTAAAAAATATCTGCAATTCTTAAACAGTCAATTAAAGCTGAAAGTCTGCACTTCAATCAGATCTTCAGTCTTTGATTTCAGATCCCCTGCGGTGGTGCACAGACGCCAAACTGCATGAAAATACGTCACTATGGCTCTAACTGGAAGCACGATACTTCCTGCTTGCTTGTTTGGTTTAAATTACATTAGATTTTTGAAATATTTCTTATCATAACGTCCAACAATACACTAAATAATAAATATCAAGTCTCGTTCCAAACTGGTCTGTTTGATTGATTTTTACTTGGTGTGTCCTGATAGAATCCATTAAGGCTCTAAATATAAAGACAAAAAGTAGAGCTTTGCATACTTACTTAAATGTCACGTCTCATGTTCGTTTCAGGGTGTTTCATTGTATTTACTGATCTTTCATGGCCATCTACTGGATGAAGAGCAAACTGCAAACATAAAACTATCAATACACTGTGTAAAAGTACATCCAGATCTTTATTTATTAGTTATTTGCATTGTTTTTCTTTAATTTAGAAACAGATTTTTTTCATTTGTTGTATTTTTTTCCCCACTTCTGCAGAAGTGTAAGGCTAAGCTGTTGTCGGGAGCTCTGATGCGAGGGTAGATTTTCTTTGTTGACAGCCTGTGGTCAGCTTATCTGTGCTGGTTCTGATCAGAACTAATCAAGCCTACTCTTTATGGTTTTAGCAAGCTTTAGATTAAAGTATACTTAAGCAGCTGTTACACGAGCTATGACAACTGCATGTAAAAAGTAGCCAGTCAAGTCTGACAAAGAAAAAATCTCTTTAAAGGTTTTCAAAGCCTGATAAAGCCCTTGAAGTTATAAATGAGAAACTCGGACTCTGTAGTGCACGATAAGAGCCAAAGGGGCGATATTTCATCACAGAGTGAAGGACAGGTGAAGCACCACAGCACCTTACACAAACAGAGCGTTGCATCATGGTCTATATAGTACCAGACTCCATTTTTTTCTACACAAAGAACTACAATACAATCACGTGACACACCAACCCGACAGTGACAGGTTGAGAGGTTTGCTGTGTGTGTGTGTGTGTGTGTTGTGTGTGTGTGTGTGTGTGTGTGTTATGGGTGTCAAATGTTATGCGGAACTTGTGCCTCCTCCCCAGCATGCTGTCGCTTCCTATTTACTGAAAGCATTTGAAGCAGGTTCGCACCGATACTGGCTGCAGCTTTTTGCGCTCACAGTAAACGCGCTGCACAGACGGTCAGCACAAAAACTTTTAGGTCAGGATGAGCTGACACCAAGAACTGTGAACAGATTTGGTCGTTGTTGACCTGAAGTGAGCGTGAATGACTTTTTCTCCATATTGTTTTTAAAATATTATTTTTAATTTGCCTGCTGTCTTTTTAACTTAGCGCATATATAAGCTTAGTAAACATGAAGTTTAACGGGTATCTAAAGCTCCGGATCGGCGAGGCGGTGGATCTGAAACCGACTACCTTCTCCCTCCGCCACTCTGTCATCTTCAACAAGGCTCCTCCAGCCATGGACCCCTACATTGTGGTGAAGGTGGACGACTACAAAATTGGGCAGACTCACACCAAGCAGAAAACCAACATGCCCACGTACAACGAGGAGTTCTGCCTCAACGTGAACGACGGCAAACAGATCGAGCTGGCTGTTTTCCACGACACTCCAATCGGATATGATGACTTTGTGGCCAACTGCACCATTCAGTTCGAGGACCTCATCGAAACTTCCAACACAGGGGAGACTTTTGAGGGATGGGTAAGTTTTAGGGTTCCCTTGTTTTTTTTGTTTAAGTGTTATTTCTTCCATTTAAATTTAGACCATCCTTTAACCATAAACATGGGTGGATTCGTCTGTCAGGATGCCCTGGGGCACAGATGTGCAGCTGGCCACACACCACTACATACACCTCACAATATGAGAGCAGGCCTGTGGTCTCGTACTGAGAACAGTGCCTAATAATAATAATAATAATAATAATAATAATAATAATAATAATAAGAAGAAGAAGAAGAAGAAGAAGAAGAAGAAGAAGAAGAAGAAGAAGAAAAATAAAATGTTTTTATTATTAAAGTACACACACCTCCAAGCAGAGTTTATTGGTTCAACCCGGAGCCAAAAACGCCTCAGATCCAATGACAGTATGATGGCATTTCCTGCCATCATACATTGCCTTGGAAAATTAAATAACAGCCAGAATCAATATACCTGAAGGTCCAATACCAACAATACTTAGTATTTCCAGCATGATCACTCACATCACATACAGCTGCCACATACCCAGACATGAACCAGTTCCTGTTTGCTGGAGCAGTAACTGACCCAAAGTTTCTGCCTGTCCCATCTCATGTAGCTTTATTGTAGTATATGTATGAGGAAATAATGCAAAGGAAGAGATTTTTACAATTCTTTATAATACAGAAACTTTAGTGTCAAAAGCTCTTAAAGAAATTTATCACTGATCCACTTTTAGTTGGTAATGTGAAATGGGCCTACTGTTTACAAACCTAGGCTTAATGGGAACATATACTTTTATTCTTATTTTTTGTCAGATATATATGCAATTTAAATTGCATATTCATGTTAAACAAGGCTTTAACTATGTTAAAAATGCATTATACAGACAGCTTTGAATTAGGGAACGGAATCAAAGAGTATCTCAGAAGCTAGTGTGATATTATTTTGATACATTGCCCACAATAACATTTGAATACAGTATTCTGTGTAACTGAAGGATAATTTTTTTTAAAAGGGTGAAAAGCTGGAATTTTATATACAGTATGTACACTGCGGTGTCACATTAGTGTATAACTGATTAGTTCAGTGAATTCTCAGGTGGATGTTCACCATCTTTACTAAAGCTTCTGTGCATTTTACCCTCATTCATTTGAGTAACACCCCCCAGTGTGTCTGTAATTGCATGGCAAAAAAAAAAGTATTGTAATTTTATTGACCCACGTGTACTGGGGATGCTAAATTTTTACTTTCGGCAACAAAAATGTTACAGAGATTTCTTTATAGTCATCTTCAGGCCTACGAAGCCAAACTAAAGTCGTCTTGCTGCCAATATATATGTAAACATTTCAGTAAAACAGTGTTCTTCAGAAGTCTTACTGACACTTCATTTACTCTTGTCAGCAAATACCATGCTAGCTTTGTTAGCTTTGGTTGTTCCTGACAGCAGACCTTTCCCATGTCAGTCATGCATTGTATGCCAATTAACTGAAGCATGCACAGGAAAAAACCTGCACATATGTTTTTTGCAGCTTGTGACTGAAAGACTTAATTGACCGAACACGAGAAAACAAACAATGCAAAGGGCATTAATATTTACAGATCAGTCACGTTACACATGTTACACATGTTGTTCATGCGCTTATTCCTGGTTAGATTAAGGTTCCAAAATAAGCAAGTTAAGTTGAGATTCAAGTTTTAATCAAGAACAAACAAACCAGTGAACAAATGCAAAAATAAACAAGTGTTGCTCACAGGCACGCGGTGCTTCTCCTCAGCAGGCTTTCTCAACGCTGGCCAATCAGACAAGTGTGCTTTAAGTCAGTTTTTTTTGTTTTCTTTTACTTTACAAGGGTAACTTTTCTGAATTTAAAGTCCCGGAATCAAAATATGGACCTTATGATGAAAAAAATCATCCTATATTTTCTAATCCTGCTTAAATTATTAATTTCTTCTATCCATACCTAAGCAATTTTAAGACAACGCTATAAGACTGATTAAAAATGTAGTTCCAGGTTGATTTATAGTAAAAAAAAAAAAAGTTAACCTCTAAAGTCACATTCACATTAGGCGCTATTTTAACTTCACATCAGAGCTTTAATACTTTATGAACAGCGTTTTAGAGCAGGTTTAGAAGGCAAAGCCTGTTATTAAGCTCAGGGCGCTGTTCACTACACGCCTCAGTGTGTGACTAATTTTCCCTCTTTTTGTGCCTGAAAACAATAACACCCTCCCATCTGCACTGAGATCCTCCCTGCTTCTACAGGAGGAAGAGGTTTAAACAGAGTCCGAGACTTATTAACTCATTTTCAACATAAAGTGTTGGGTCAAGAACCTCTGTCATAAATGTTGCTCATACACTGCCTTAGAATTGTTATTGGCAGCAACCATGGTCACAAACCACACATGCAACTGTAGTGGGGAGGTGTTAATTTTACTTATAAGACCTGCTAACTCACAAGCAAATACAGAGAATTACCCAGGCCTGCACGAGCTGCCTCTAGAGACATGTATTTTTATAACTTCCACACGTCTGCTCTCAGCCGTTTACAGAGTTTCACAGTTCACAAAACTTTGTCGATTGAGGCGTAAAAGAAACTTTGTCCAAAATTTTGTTGCTATAATACCATATATGCACAGTTTTCAGTGGAAAAAATGACCTCATGAAGCTTAAATTAAAGCCTAATGTGAAGTACCACAGTGGTTTCACTCTTATTTACACTGAAACACAAAAAAGTGCTTCTTGAAACTGGAGTTTCCCTGTTCAGACTTACTCTCATCCCTTCAGGACTAGAAGCCACTGCAGGTGTGAATGTAACCTGAGCATGGCCCTTACGCTGTCTCCTCACTTTCTCATTACGTCATAGCACATTAGAAACAAATGCCTCATAGAGTCCATTTAATGTGGCGGTTTTGTATAAATCAGCAATAATATGCAAATTGCAATATAATGCAATAGTGCTATAACCTTCAGTAGTTCTCTATCTCACATTTGGAAACAGCTCTGCCCTTGCACATAGCACAGAGGTTAATTATATATGTATGTATGTATGTATGTATGTATGTATGTATATGTATATATATATATGTATATATATATATGTATGTATATATATATGTATATATATAATTTTTTTTTTCTGCTGTTAAGGTGTAATGAAGTATATATATATATCTTGAAGAAATATACTTCATTGCACCTTAACAGCAGAATTACTAATAAGGTAATTAACTGATTTTCATGAGCAGTGCATGTATTTATTGGCAAGAATCAGCACTTTAAAGTCCCCTGAGAGTCGCATTTGTAGAGAGAAGCATGACTTTCAAGACTGCTTTTGCACACATTTACACCAAGACCCCAGAAGTGTAGGGGAAGTGGTATGAAAGTGGAGCTTGGTCTGCAGTTTTAGAAGAAGTGGCTGGTTAGTGCAGCTGACTTTCTCACTTCAAGACACAAATTCTAAGCCGTTATCCGCTAGATCTGAACTGTGAAGGCTTTAAGGGCTTTGTTGTGCAGAAGTGCTGGGCTGGTTTGTTTCACATGAGGCGCAAGCCTCCACACGCCCACACTGCTGTTTATCAGTCTTCTCACCAGGCAGCTGATCAGCTCTCTCTCTTACTGCTAAAATAGTTACTCTCAGTTGGCTTGTGTTCAAATGCTCTTCTTTCTGTGTTGCCTTTTTTTCTCTGTCTCTTCTTTTCACACCTTCTTGTGTCCAGGAAAGTAACCTCCACAAAACTCTTCGTGTCTTTTCTTCTGGCTTTTACTGGACTCAAAGCACAGCTTAAGCAGAATTCTTCAGGAAGTTACTCAACTCCTCCATTTAACCCAAAGGCGTTCAGAGACATTTAACATGGCATTTACACACACACACACAAGCCCAGCTCCTTTGACTCCCACCTGCTGACAGTACCCAGCACTACTTTGTGATGTCTTTTGCTTATTATTCGGTTGTTTAGCTGCTGTTTATTTTATGTGTTTGCTCTAATCAGTCTTGAAGTACTTGTGGATGTGTTCATGCAGTGGTTTTTGAGGGTTACAAGCTATGAAACTAAAAGTGGGTTAAATGTGGCCCCTCAACATTTTCCACCACTGATTATTGTGCTGCTCGCTTGGCTGAAAAAGGGACCCTACCCTCCTCCCGTTTACAAAAAAAGAAAAAGAAACTTCCCTCTCTATGATGTAGCATTCAGTGTTCTGCTTTTTAACTACAGCGTCTTGCTGTCCTTTACCTTTACCCACAGTTATGAGATTACTTTAAGGTCTGTATAAAAAATGTGCACTTGCACAGCTTGCAATGGTTCCCTTTCTAAAGTAAGTAGAAATGTCTGCATGTCCTGAAATAGATGCAAAAGTCAAACCAAAACCTTGTTATCACAGATTGAATTTTCTGTAGCACCGCAGTTCTTTATGTGTTTGTATAAAGATAAACAATATGGACACCTCCTTTAATCTGCCCAATTGAGCTCTGTCACTCAGTGAGAAGGAAACAAATTCTAACCTCTTAATGTATTGTTTTTTATTATTATTATTATTATTATTTATTTATTTATTCAGCAGCAGTCAAAAAGGCAAAGATAACATAACACAAACACACACACAGAGGAAGTTCTCACAGTGGACAAGTCAAACCTGTCGTCTAGACTGTAGATTGAGACACAGGATATGAGCGGCAACTGAAAAGAAAATTCACTTCTTAACTGAAATTATCTTTTTCTTTTTTCATTTTAAACTTTTACACCAAGTCATTTTTTTCAGAGCTTACTATATATTTATACTCCGTGTCATCGTCTGGTTTGCTGTCAGTATTTTCCAGGAAGGGTTTATGTGTATAAATAGAGCTTTGCTCGACCATACGGTGACATAAAAATTTCCATCCAGTGGTTTCTGCAGGAAGGAAGTATCTCTTTCTGTCTGCTCATCTCTGTCCAGCTTTAAAGAGGCCAACTTATATATGCAGATGGTGATGCTGTTAATTATGGTTAAATAGCTTGGCACCACTCTCACTGTAAGTAGCCTGACCTGTAAGACCTGTCAGGCCTGCTTTGTAGTCTTTCAGTCCCATTGTCCAGATTCCTGCGACAGTATGTACACTCTGAAGAATGACACAAAAATGTCGTGCCATAGTTGTGAGTCTGGGATAGTACACCCGAAGGACTCGAGCTCTATTTTCAATGCTATTTAAATCCAAACATTCTTTGATCTAACAGCTGTTTCTAAAACTCTAATATTTTTCTATACAAGTTTTATAACATTTTGTATACGTGTGAGGTAATGTATTTTTCCTACACTTTGAAATATAAGGTAATGTTTGGACATAAAAATCGCAAAAATTATGAAATATAAGAGGTAAAATTTTGAATATACTAAGAGGCATTATAAATGCAACACTGTAACATTTCTTATATTAAAATCTGATCCTGGTCCCTGCTTGCCTGTAGCAGTCGTGGGATTAGGGATAGGGTCTCGTATGAGATTACTCACATAAATTCATATTATTTATTTGTATGTATGAAAAACTGTACATCAGTACAACTCTGTGTGTGTGTGTGTGTGTGTGTGTGTGTGTGTGTGTGTGTGTGTGTGTGTGTGCGTGCGTGCGTGCACGCACACGTTTATATATACATGCATACATACACACGTGTGTGTGTGTGTATATATATATATCTTGCCTTGGTAAGTGAAGACAGGCAGGAAATCGGAAAAGGCACACAGCAAAGGGCTGCAGGTCGGCCTCGAGCCAGGCGGCATGTGGTTGCCTGCTTACCCGCTGAGCTAAACCGGTGCCCTAGTCTCATTATATTTTACACTCTACCTGAATTATAAGACTCTTCCATGGGTCATGGAAATGAACGGTATGCATATTCGCTGATATTTTAGGGTCTTTTTTTTTTGCCATAACGTCATATTTGCTCAATCCAGCACAGAAGATGAATGTGATGTAAATAGTTACGAATTTCAAATTAAAAACTGTTCTACATGTTTTATTTTTCCGTTCGTGTAGAATACTGTTTACATTTACATACAAAATTTATAGTAGTTGTCTTCTGAAATGTAATTTCTTTATTGAATTATTTAAAGTTATTTTTCTTCAAACATGACACTTTAAGGACTTCTCACTTTTTTCCCCATATTGTAACTAGCCAATACTCGGTCATTTTGATGTATCTGTGCCAAATTACACACCCTGATTCATTTTTATGTTGAGAGAGGCTCTTTAAAGGTGTTTTAAGGTATACATGTTTTGCTTCGGATTTCAAGGCAGGAAAAAAAAGGCCTGAAAGCGGGTGGACGGGCTTTTTTTTAAAAAAAAAAAAGAAGAAGAAGAAGTCACAGTTTTGGTCATATTTGTTTATTATATATGACCAAAAGCATAAAAAATTCAGCCAAATCAAAGGTCACTGAGCAAAAATCGTCTAAAAATGTGGTGATCTGAGATTGAACAATCTAAGTGTATATAAATGGCTGATTTGTTATTTGTGTAATATTAGTAAGCTAGTTTGGTTTGGATATCTCTGCTTCTAGCCAGATACTTTAGAACCGTGTTTCACTGTGGCAGATGTGTGTTTCAGTTTTACTGTCTGGGTGTAGTGAAATCATTTCGTGTCATGTCTTTGAATCTGCAGATGGACTTGGAACCAGAGGGCAAGGTGTATGTTCACATCACACTCACCGGATCTTTTGTAGATGGTATGTATGCAACGCACAGTCTAGTTGTTCTCCTCGTGCCTACATGTCAACACCCTCCAAGCGCAACATAACAACAATGCCAGCTATTTAAACAATTCCACTGTGTTACCTTCACCTTTATTCTACAGTGAAACTCCACTTGCCCTTATGAAGAATGATTATCTGACTCATTAAATACCAATGTCTGTCAATGCAAAGGCTCTGATAGGTGCGTGCGCATGCACGTGAATGTGAAAAATGTTTGCCTTTTTTAGATGTCCACATCAAGGCGCTAACTTAAGTACAAACTCTTTCACCAATGAGACAAGGCCATTTAAATGAGATGAGTGGGAAGTGATGGTGCAGGACTGTTAAAGCAGAAGTTGATTAAAAACAACACTGGGCTACATTCTCGGTTGTTCCTGTCAGTTTTCTCATGTAGGTCTAAAAAAGGTTCTCCTAATGTTCTTCCTCTCATGTTCTTCCCTTGTGGACATAATCCACGTCCAAAACAGCTGAATCAAAAGCTTTCGCATCATTAATGCGATTGACCTCAAGGAGGATGCAGATAGCCACAAAACATCCAGTTCTACATATCAAGATGATATTTTGTGATAGGGTAGGTCAGTGTGGTTGAAATCTTTTTTTTGTTTTGTTTTGTTTTTTACACTGAGACTGTACATCATTGGCAAATCTATGCCACCTCACACAAGTTCCCAATTAATTAATTCTCAGAAACAAGAGCCTACAATCAAGAAAACACAGGAAAAGCAAACAGAAATGCTTAAAGTTGTTTGAAAACAAAGTGCACCTTTACTGCTTCCATAGAAATGACTAGGGTAGCAGCCAAGTGCCGCTCATTAAATTGACTTGATTAACTGATCACCAGCAAGTATGACCAACTTTATAAAAGCAGATTTTTTTGGAAGTTTGCTTCTGTGGAGTATTCAGGTGTGTGCTGAAATAATGCCAAAATCCTCCCAGGAGTGGAGAGCTCAGCAAAATTCACCCTGACTGTCCAATGCTCAGAAAAACTGCAAAAAAAACCAAGAAATACATCTCAGACTTTACAGACCTCAGTCAGCATGTTAAGTGTTAAAGTTTATAACAGCAAAGTTAGAAAAAGACTGAATGATGTGTTTGGAAGGAATGCCAGGTGAAAGCCTCTTCCCTCTAACAAAGAGTATAGCAGCTCATCTTAGGTTTACAAAGGGGCATCTGAACAAACCAGGAGACTTCAGGAACTATGTCCTTTGGACAGACAAGACCAAAGTGGAGATGTGTGGATATAATGTACAGTAGAGTTGTGCAAGGCCGAACAACTTAGCAGCAAAACACAATCTGTCAGCACAAACACCTCACAACAACTGTCTAGCACATTGGAGGAGTGATGATTTTGGCTTGTTTTGCAACTATGGGAACCTGGGCAATCTGCAGTTACTGATTCAATCCCGAACTCCTCTGTAAACTATTTTATTTGAAAAAGTGGGTGAATGGTTAGGTTTAGGACGTTATGATTAACCTAACCAGCAAATCTACAACAGAATGGCTGAAAAAAGAAAAGAATTAAGGAGCTGCAATGGCCCAATCCAGACTTCAACCTGATTGAAATGTTGTGCCAGGACCATGAGAGCTGTGCATGAACAAATACCCACAAACCACAAACCTCAGTGATCTGAAGCATTGCTCTAAATAAGCCAAAATTCCTCCACGGTAGACTGATAAAATCATACATAAGTTTCTGCTGCTACAGGTGGGTTTTGAGTCATGGTGTGTTTGATTTTGACAGAATTGCAAGACTTTCTCATATCTTTAAGTTGGAAAGTCTCATGTGGCTAAATGACAGCATATCACAGTTTGACTTAACTGAATATTGATCAGTGTTACAGTATATAATTATTGCCCTGTTCAAGTTAGCATGCTCTTGCTCATTCAAAACTAAAAAGATTTCAGGTTGTGCATAGAGAGGCATTTCCCAAGAATCAGTGCTTGGTCCCCTGCTTTTCAATTGTTTCTGAATGGCCTGCTAGCTACCAGCTTCATGCAGATGACAATGCAATCTGTGGCAACGACATAATCATCATGTACTGAATTTTAAATGTTTATATGCGTTTCTTCATTCGAAAAAAAGAAATTAAGAGAAGTAATGAAGAAATGGGGAAAGCCAATTGATTTAAATTCTTAGGAATAATTTTAGATTCACACCTCGAGTTTGATAAGCATGTAAAGAACAATACAACCAATCAAGAACCATCTGTCACACTGTCACATGTTTAAAAAGAGATACAATCTACTTAGCTTTGAGACTTTTCCTTAAGTTTCTTAAATAAGTCTACAATTAGAAAACAAATTCTGGCCACAGAGTCTCTTTCTTGATGTATAGATATATATTCAATGACAAGACCGTAACAGAGTAGCCAAGAGCACAATGAATAGCAACAAACACCACATCAAATGCATAAATCTAAATTAAGATGTTGTGTATTTTCAAGAAATACCTGTCGCCCATGGAGCGCACTACCACCTGAAGCAAAATATATGTTGGACTAAATATGTGTAGTGTGTATATTGGGCTTTGCAGTATATGTAGAGGCTCTTAGTCTGAAATGAACGCCCCCTTTTCATACAATAACCACACTACATCTATGTGTTGTTTGCAGGGGTGGGGTGTGGGCTCAGCAAAAAGGTTTCCGTAATGCATGTGTAATGCTTGTGTGGTTTTGCAGATTTCTTTACTGACTTTCATTACTTAGGTCTAAACGCACAGTTACACAGTGTAGATGTTCACAACATAAATTACAGTATGACAACTCTAGACTCTTTGTCTCTTTTATTCTGCCTTCCTTTCAAAGTCTTGTTTGATCTTTTGAGAGATGACTGAATTAATTTATTTAATAAAAATAAAATATATTGTGAATCATGCTAGGGTTATGTGATATGGGAAAGAAGTCATGTTTTAATAGTGTCAGGAGTTTTTATTTTTAGTTATGGAAAATTCTCTGTCAGACTTTTTTTTGTGTAGGCAGTGTCTGTCTGTTACGTTGGCTTAAATGGTTACAAATAAGTAATATCAGACTGTTGTTTTGTATTCTAAAAATCCTTCAGAAATGCCAGACATTTATTTGTTCCAGCTTATCAGGTTGATAATTCAGGGCTTGGTTCTTTTTCTTTTTGTTTTTTTTTGCTTGTTGGTTGTCTGTCTTACTTTTGTTCTGCTGGTTGGGCAAAACTAATATATCATAGATGCCATCTTGCAGTTCATGGAAACAACGATGGCAATTTTTTACGTCATTTGTGAGACAGTTCATCAGTTGATTGAAAGATAAGAGGATTGACAATAATTCATCCTAAAAATAAAAAAGTTTTTTTTACAGTCCCTGGGAGTAGTCCTAGAACTGTGAGAGATAACAGTGTCTGCATTTAACTGCTAATCATTCCACCTTTTTCTTGCTTGTCCATACACTGTAGTGGGTGTGTAGAGGACATTTTTATGTGAGAGTGGCTCCCTGAAATATCCCGATGAAGGCTGTCAAAATGAACCAAAGAAGTAACCCAGACACCCCCTCGCTAAAATCACGCAGCCACACAGACTGTAATGCAGCACCATCACATGTAACTGTCAGATACAGTTAAATAGTACGTCATCAAACTTCAAATCTAAAAGAACCAGAAAAATCACAAACTGTTGAATTAATGCAAAACAGTGATGTTGAGCTGAAATATCCTCAGAGTTGAGCAGAAACACAGATTTTAATAATTCATATTTCACATTCAAGTATAAATAAAGACTTTATATCCACTTTAAAGAAATCCCATAATGTGATAAATCCATTCTAAGAGTTCACGCACTTCTTCTGTGCTTTTTATGTTACAAACTTATGTTCTTGTCTTGTTGCCAGATGAGGCCGTAGTGAAGAATTTCAAGCAGTTTACAAGGAAGCGGCAGGGAGCCGTGAGGCGAAGGATACACCAGGTTAATGGGCACAAGTTTATGTCCACTTTCCTCCGTCAGCCCACCTTCTGTTTTCACTGCAAAGAGTTCATCTGGTGAGAAAGTCACGCATGGGTGATTCAGTGCTGGCAGCGCATCTCTGTGTAGAATGTAAACTGGATCTAAATCTGTTCTCTTTTATGTTAATAGGGGTGTTTTTGGAAAGCAGGGTTACCAGTGTCAAGGTAAGCAGAACTTATTTTTCTCTTTCTGCCTTTTACCACAGTTGCCTAAACACACCTGTGTTTGTTATGAGTCCGCCATTGACTCGTTGTCTTGTCTTTTTTTTTGTTTTTCAGTGTGTACCTGTGTGGTGCACAAACGATGCCACCAGCAGGTCGTCACTGTCTGTCCACGCATGAAGAAAACAGCAAAAGAACAGGTAACGACACATTAATACACTCTAATCAGCATGTTTACTTCTAAATAGTTGTTCTCTTTACAGATTTTTATTTTTTTTTTGTTTAAATACAGAATGTCAAAAAAAAGCACCCTCCCCCTCCTACACACACATTCACACACGCATCTGATTAACACCTGCAGTGATCAGTAGGCTGTTTCCTGTTTCTATATTCTGTCTAGACTGGTCACTGAGGCAGAACACTGTACTGCACTATTATTTTCCACATATGAACACTATAAATTTTTATGCTTCTATAAATACATCCATGACAGTTTTAGCAGTTTGAACGCAACTATGTAGCTTAGTTTTGTTATATTTTGCTGAATATTACAAGTTTCTCTTCCCTAAAATCTGACAGGATAATAAAAATTTATACGCTAAGCATGTTTATTTTTAATACACCATTTACAAATTTTGTAAATATAGTATAATCATCATTATATAATTCCTTTAGACTTATTGTCTCTTTTATGCTATGTTCCTTTAAAAGTCTTATTTGATCATAAGTGACAGAGAGTAATTGATTGAGTTTTTTGTTTGTTTATTTTTTAAGAAATTAAACGTAAGTATGAGGCATATTGTCAAAACAGATGAAATTCTTTTCATGGAAGGTGCTTGCACATTTTCTTCTTTGGAGCTCCACAGGGTAGCTGTCTGGGTCCATTACTTTTTTTCTTTACATGCATGGAAACATTATTAGACAGGATAAATTTTTGTTACTGTAGTTACACAGATGCTAGACAG